GTCTCCACGTTACCTTATTCTCACTACTCTTAGAAAGAACTATTATGGTGATCTTCCTCAAATAAAATGTCATTGATAGAAAATTTATTTTCAACTGCCCAAATATAGTCATTTTACGAGGCCCAAGAACTGGTCTACTATGATCCCCTGAAATAGTGTGACCTTAAAATATTTAATATCTCAAGGTTTATACCCCTGGTTTGTGTACTTGAGGGAGAGTTAGAGTCCTGTGAGACTAGAATAAAAGCGTAGTAGACAAGACATTTTTATACACATGCAAATACATCCACACACACTCAACCCACAGTCAACCCAAATACATCCACACAGGCTCAACCCACACTTCTGTAGGAAATTTGACAGAAGTCCATAAAACCATTCACAGCCCCCTCCTCTTAACTGTAGATACAAGGTTAACGGCCCCAGCTTAAATTATTAGCACTATCCCCACAGGGTGCGAAAATCCACAATAATTTTTATTCCGCTGTTTCACTAGATCTTCTATTCTCCTGCTTCTCTACTTTCCACTTCTAAATTAAACTGTCCTATTCTAGTCCATCTACCAAAGAAAACTGTAGCTACATTTTAGCCCTGAATCAAATAGATGTTTTTTGAAAAAAAGCTTTTCATGATTCTCTTACTGTCTATATTCTCTCTCTCCTTTTAAATCCTAAAGCACTTATAGTCTAAATCATGAAAATAGCACATCATATAATGATGTCCATTACTTGTCTAATGCTCTTTTCTCGTGCAAGAAGCAAAGCTTATTAATTCCACGTGGGTTCCCCTGAGGTAGAAAAGACTGTAATTGATATTAATTCCACATGGCCTTCAGAGCTCATCAAAGGGCTGAGGAAAACACCTAGAGCTGTGAGTTGGCTATTTGGTTGATTTTAGGATTTACGATTGTCACATTGTAATCATTTTAACTGCCTCTTCACTATCCTTCTTTTCCCAATTTTATCCTTCTACTAAATATATCATAAAAACAGAAAATACAGTAACTAAGAAATGCGATTAGCACGTTTCTTCTTAAGATCTTCCAATCACAGGGGCGCCTGGGTGGCTCAGTTGGTTGAGCGACTTCCTTCGGCTCAGGTCGTGATCCTGGAGTCCCGGATTCGAGTCCCGCATCGGGCTCCCTGCTCGGCGGGGAGTCTGCTTCTCCCTCTGACCCTCTTCCCTCTCGTGCTCTCTCTCTCTCATTCTCTCTCTCTCAAATAAATAAAATCTAAAAAAAAAAAAAGATCTTCCAATCACAGCATACATTTCTGCCTCAGGGTAATTACAACACAACACAACGGATCTTAAAACTTGTAAAAAAAAAAGTATCAGAACCACCGGGAGGGCTTTAAAATCCACACCCTACCCCTAGATTTTCTAAGGTCTGGGTGAGGGAGGGGGTTGGAAATTTGCATATCTAATGAATATCTAATGAATGCCTAGGTAACGTTGATCAGGGGACCACACTTTAAAGACTGCTGGGCTAATATTTAAAATAAATGAAGATGTTTTGCTGAGTTCCTATCTTTTTATCTCCATCGATGAGAAGTCTAATTAAAAAGGAAAATGGAAGCAAAACACTAAAAGAATAGATTGAAGTATGAGAGGACATTCCCCAAAGAAAATACATTCATATTTTGAAGTCTGAATAAATAATATACTGGACTTCCAGAGATAAATTTTGATATGATCTCAAAGTCAATGTCAGTGACCTTAAAGAATTGTGAGGCATAGGGCGCCTGGGTGGCTCAGATGGTTAAGCGTCTGCCTTCAGCTCAGATCCTGATCCCAGAGTCCTGGGATCGGGTCCCGCATCGGGCTCCCTGCTCCTTGGGAGCCTGCTTCTCCCTTGCCTCTCTCTCTCTCTCTCTCTGTCTCTCATGAATAAATAAATAAAATTAAAAAAAAAATTGTGAGGCATAGCAGTGAAATCAGAGTGATGGAAATTGAGGTATTTTGCAATTTTAAAAATGAGCCACTAACTGAATCAATGCATGATATAATGGTAAGCTTTGAAGTGATACAATTAATACAAGATACATATACAAATATTTTACTATCAGTTTGTGATTATTTTAAAAATTATGTAAGTTAAAATATTATATATTAATATACATTAATATAAATATATGATATATATTTTTATTTAAATACATAGATTTAGTATATTAGCTTATGTACTATATTACTTATTACTTAATGTAATATACAATATATTAGTTAATGTATTTAATACATTATTTAAACTACATACTCTAACTAGAATCCATTCTGGTTTCATTTAGAACAACAAATACTAAACAGTCTATTTTTATAGATGTACTAGACTGATATTATTAGGAAATGTTATACATATATAACATATCTCGATTTCTGAGTAGAATTTGCACATTTCTCATAGTTTTGTATAACATGATGTAATACTGACTAAGATGGTGAAGCATTTCTATTTGCTCCTGTCTGTGGGGTGACCCCATTGAGGATGGGGGGCTAGCCGTGCGGGAGGTGAAGGATTCACCCAGGGCAGAACAAAAGAGAAGTTTTTTGAACAAACTGCAAGGGAGCTGTGGGCCCGACAGCAAAGGAGAGACTATCTTGCCGCGAGACAGTGGTGAGGACCCACAGTTACAGGGCAGAGTGGGGGAGGCATGGGGATCTATGAAACGTTCCCCTTTTTGTTAACTGTGCCTGGTTCTAAGCAGCCCATTGGTTAGTTAGGGCTCATGGCTATTTCGAGGTGGGTTTCCTAATGAGCCTATTTGCATTCAGCTTGGTGGTCACTGTGGGCTCTTGTGCTTTGCTCAAGGTCCTATTGCTCAAGCCTCTTGTCTAAAAGTAGCCTCTACACTATCTGCTAGTAAAACCTCCCTCAGAAGGTGATTCCTAAAACCTTACCACTCTGGAAGGAAGATACTGTTGTCACAGGGATTATACTCATTTGTCCTACTAGAACATGCGCTTATCACTAACTTGTATGAACTCAGAGATGACAGGCATACTAGATTAAAAGTGACACCAAACCGAGAGAAACTGATAATTCTATGGAAGTCAGAAATAAAATTAAAAGATAGAAGCCATAAGTAAATGGGTGAAATTGAACGTAAACTAATGCAGAGGTGTTTCTTTTCATATTATGTACTACAGGCTAGTAGGAATTTGAGTAGCAGGGAGCCCCATAACGTCTCACCTGGGAGCATACTGTCAATAAAGCACGTAATTATTGGCTTAATTATTGGCTTCAGTTCCAGGACTCACCTTTGAAGAGATACATTATGAGACTAAGATGCTTCTACAAGACAACAGTGTGGAGGGCAAGGGGAGCCCATCCCCACCCCAGATGGGCCACTTTGTCATGTTGATTATTCTAAATAAAAGTTACTTAACAGACAGTCTGTGCAAGAAGGACGCTCTGACCCTCTGACCCTCTGACCCTCCTCTGTCCCCTGAAAGCAGGAAAGAAATCGCCCAAAAAGTTGCCCTCCCTGTACCAGGAGGTAGAGAGACAGCCTTTCTCACCAGAGGTAGGGAATTCAGGGCCAAGAAGGCTGTATAGACAATCCTTGTTCCTAATTACGACTGAGCCCAAATTCTGTTTAGAATTCCTCACTACTTGAAGTTCCCAAAGTTAAGTTTTCTTTGTCCTGTCAAATCCTCATCGATTTATCGCCTTTTTGTCTAAAAAGTATAAACACTGTTTGCCTTGGTCATTTCTTTAGGGCTCAATTTCATAATTGGGCCTCTGTGTGCACAGAATAAAACTGGTTTTTTTGTTTTGTTTTGTTTTGTTTTCTCTTGTTAATCTGTCTCCTGTCAATTTAATTCTTAGTCCAGCTGGGAGAACTTGAGGGTAGAGAAGAATTTCCCTTCTCTTCCCAGCGCTCTCCCAGAAAAGGACCTCAAACAGTGGGTTTTGCATTTTTCTTTACTTGCCACTCTTCAGTGAGCCCCCGAGCCAGACCGCCAAGAACGAGCCTCAGGCAGGGTATACTGGATACTGATAGGCATGTATATTTGTGGTAATATGATTATCATATTTAATGTAAACAACGGACATAAGTGTGACTAGGTCTATATTTAAATTACACACAAATACACAAATTCAATTGTCTTTCTGAAGCGGGAGAGCTAGGTTCTTGTCTCACAGAGTCGAAGAATGAATCCCGCCGACAAAGGAGAGTGAATAAAGTGATAGAAGTTTATTAAGTGAAGATACAGAAAAAGCTCTCAAGAGTGAGAGGGGTCCCGACAGGGTTGCCAATGAGGGCTTTTAGTGTTGGTCTTTTATAGTAAAGCTAACCGGGGAACTTAAATCCTTTTAACGTTTCTATTGATATCACCATTGATCAAGTTCTATCAATAACACCTCCAATTGCTTACTTCCTTTTTAGGGTCTGGTTATTCCTTGTTGGTCACAGGTGATTATCATAAAAAATACACTCACCCCACACACCTAGGGCAGGGTGGTTCCCTTTGTTCCCAGATCTCTGGTTTCCCCACACCTCCACATTTTTTGGATTTCTGTGAGCCTGATCACATAGCCCCGTATCTATCTCTCCCTACCTAGCCCCGCCTGTCCCTTACTTATTTCTAATTACTATCTATATGGTTCTAATGTTCATTCACCTTTTCAAAACTATATCAAATATATGAATTGTTCGTATCTTCACAAAGGAGTTTCATTTCTCCACCAATTTTTGCCCCCTGGTTAATTAAGTGTATGTATTGAAAAATTACATAATCTACCTCCTATTGTTTCAAACAGGAAAATGTATCTAGTTTAAAAATTCTAATGGCTAAGGTAAAAGGCAGTAATTTTGTGCTAAAAAAGATGTTTGTTTGGAAGGAAATGGCTTGGGGCAAAATCTGAATGCAAAAGAAAGTTGTAGAAGGTTTGTGATGGGAAATCCTTGGAAAGGAATTTTTGGTGTGGTAAGAATGGACTAAGATTGAAATGAATGTATTTTAAAAGTACATTGGTATACTTTTGGCTTTCGGCTCGGGGAGGCAAAGGTGCAACTTTCTTCGGTCGTCCCGAATCTGGGTTCATCCGACACCAGCCGCCTCCGCCATGCCGCCTAAGTTCGACCCCAACGAGATCAAAGTCGTGTACCTGAGGTGCACCGGTGGCGAAGTCGGTGCCACGTCTGCCCTGGCCCCGAAGATAGGCCCGCTGGGTCTGTCTCCAAAAAAGGTGGGTGATGACATCGCCAAGGCAACCGGTGATTGGAAGGGTCTAAGGATTACGGTGAAACTGACCATTCAGAACAGACAGGCCCAGATTGAAGTGGTACCTTCTGCCTCTGCCCTGATTATCAAAGCCCTCAAGGAACCACCAAGAGACAGAAAGAAGCAGAAAAACATTAAGCACAGTGGAAATATCACTTTTGATGAGATTGTCAATATTGCCCGACAGATGCGACACCGATCTTTAGCGAGAGAACTCTCTGGAACCATTAAAGAGATCCTGGGGACTGCCCAGTCTGTGGGCTGCAATGTAGATGGCCGCCACCCTCATGACATCATAGATGACATCAACAGTGGTGCGCTGGAATGCCCGGCTAGTTAACTACAAAGGAAAATGTTTCAATAAAGGATCATTTGACAACCAAAAAAAAAAAAAAAAAAAAAAAAAGTACATTGGTATAATATGGAAAGTCTGCTTTCTCTCTTTTCAAAAAGATAAGTTTTCTTGAATTGTTGGTCTGCTCTTGATAAGAAAATGTAAACAAAGGTTTTTTTCTCTTTTGTCTGCCCAGAAAACCAGTTTCTATGTTTTGCCTTTATCAGGTCTTTGATGATCCCTAATCCCATCTAGGCATGTGTTTTAAAACTTCTTAAGATTTTAGCAAACTTCCCCAAGATTTAAATCGTAAACAAGTCTCATTGACTAATTAGGCTTGTTTGTTTGGTATGTTACCTTCTGGTAAAAGGTCATCATCACTCGATATTTTGACTATTAATGTGTTATGTGTCACAGATATACCTGGATTTCCTTGCCAGCTAAGTTGTAACCTCTTATCAGATGTTTAACCATGTCCATTTTTGAGTCTTGTCGTTTATAGTTATTGTTCTTATTCTCTTGTAAAATGGTTCATCTCAAGGAAACTCATATAAAGGACTTTTAGGACAAATACAGGTTTTTGACATCTTAAATTCTAAAACTGAAATGGGACAGAATTTCCAGAACTAACTAAAAAAGCTGCATTCACACTGAACAATAAATAGTAACATGGGACTAAATAAACTAAAAAGATTAGATTATAGTTTTGTGACTCTTATTTAAAACATTGCTGATTCTCTAATGCTTACTCATCCAGATTAAGGAAACTTTTCCTTAACATCTATGACTTAACAGAGATGTGATAAAGTATTTGTTTGTAAACAAAGCATTTACCTTTTCTCTCTACCTGAACCCTCTGATTGAAAAGGTCTCAGTAAGTGTTCTTTCTTCCATGGCAATCATAGTCATTTGCACAAGTTCAATAAGAATCTGTTCTCCTTGTAACAGGACACCATTGGAAATGTTGGTTATTTTACCAAGGGCTTTGACTGGAATGTCGTATTTGAGAAAGACATGCATAGACTCAGATATGACCAAACAGCTTTAAGGAACTAAGGTTGACTTTATGAAACCTGGAGCCATAAAGCCCCTTGAAATTGTTGGCCTGATTCCTTCCTCACAGAGTTCCCAGCAGCCTCATCAGGTGAGTAAAGAATGTCACTTCCTGGCAGGTGAAGGAACCCCAGGATACACTGGGGACCTCATGAAGAGGAATCGCCCACATCTACGGGTATTGCAGGCATGTCTGATGGCAAGTACTTGGCTTGGCTTCTGGTCTGGAGAGGCTACTAAAAGTTCAACCTAGAGATTCCTTATTAAAGTTCCAGCAAAGCAGATTCTAAAAGATCTATATGATCAATCATTCTTGCTGAGCTCACGTAAATAATTAGACCAAGTTTGTTAAAACTGGACTTGTTCTGCAAATGAATTAGTCTTGATTTGGCTATCTCTAGAAATGAGGGTTACTTTAGAGAGAAAAATTATGTTTCAATAACTCACCTTTGTGGATGTTAAATCCTAGATCTGATTGTCTTGAAATGTTGTTTGCTTAAGCTAGACAACGTGACGTAAACTTCAGAGAAATACCTTTTCTATTTCTACAATATCTCATGTTTAGATAATCTTCATGCTTTTTATTCTGTGAGGATAATAACAGGACCCCATGTGCCTTTGATTATTTAATCATAGCTGGAAAATGGGATGGATTCCCCAACGATTGTATAACTCCACTAGCACCTTGACCAATTTGTGTGGCTGGGATGATAAAATTTTTCCTTAAAAGCCAGAGCATACCCCACGCCATGGGGTTAACTATGGACTTGTGGAGATAATGGATGACCCCACTTTCTTTCTGATTGGATTGGCTAATGTACCTGGGGATGCCCTTATCTCTTGACAAGTCTTCTCCCACTTCCAGTGATTCCTTGTAATTAGGATATTGTTAAGGCTGGACCTCAAACAAAGAGGTCTTCTTGATGGTTTCATCCCTCATAGTCATATTTATCCTAGAAGCCACCTCTATTGGGGTACAATTACAAATAAAAGCTTTAGCCAAGCACACACAACAGTGTTTCTGGTAAAAGGAACCTCAAAGCTCGCTATGGGACAGTCCCTGACTGGAATGACTTCACATCAGGTCCACAGTGTCTTACGGATCAAAGGCCACCAATAGATGATGGGAGGCAATGCTTATAGATATGCCTGAAATAATACTTAACACCTGCCAGCTACCCTTATGCCCAGACCTGACCATCATACTTTTATAGAACATAACTGTTCAGAAGTTATTGATCTTCTTTATTCTAGTCGACCAAATTTAAGATGCCCTTATTGAAAGTGCAGATGACAGTTGGTTTACTGATGGCAGTAGTTTCATGGAAAAGAGGGGTAAGAAAAGCTGGGTATGCTATAGTCAGTCTAACTCAGACTGTTGAGGCCAAAGCCCTGTCAGCAAACACGTCTGCCCCCAAAGCAGAATTAATAGCACCCAACTGTGCTTTGCAATTGGCAAAAGTCTTAGAAATTAATATTTATACTGACTCCCAAAAATGCCTTTCTAGTCTTACATGCCCACAGAGCAATTTTAAGGAGAGGATTATTATCAAGCCATAACTCCCTGATCAAAAATGGGCCTGAAATTCACACAAATTCAAAGGATGGCCCTCCAAAACCGAATAGCCCTTAATATCCTGACTGCAGTTCAAGGAGGCCCAGTATTAGATGGCTGGCTCCTGGCTGGGACCCAGTGGCTATGCAGCTCTAACCTGTGGCCATGGCTCCCCCCAGGCTGGACAGGCCGATGTCCTATGGGTTTTGCCTGGATGCACGGACACATTATTAAAGCCATTATACCAACCCAGCCAACCTGCCAAATTTAAAACAATGGTGGACATGTTCTGTGTGTCATTGGTATAACCACCAAACATCGATCTTTGTTCCCTTTGAGACTGGAGGATGTTGTTTGGCACGTGGAAGCTCTTAATAAGTACATGGTCAGAGCCCTAAATGACACTCAAAATAGCATTTCTCTATTAAATACTAAAGTAATACAAATGCATGAATATAAAACTTGCACTATCATAAAAACAATGCTGCGTATACATTCCAGATTACCACAAAAATATTTCTGGGTTTCTAACTGACATGAATACTCAAATTGGCACTTTAAATGATCTCTTTAATGATTGGTTAAAATTCCTGGACTGAAGGAAATTTATCAAAGGTCAACTATCAAAGACCTTTTATTCAGACTTCTCTTTCTCGTTATAATATTAACCTTGTTTTGTTGCCATTTCCGGTGTCTCCCTGCCTAGTGTCAAGACTCCTTCACTGCCATAACTTCCAGCTAACAGATGATCTTTTCTACTCAAGGAGGTTCAAACATGTTGACTGCATTGGATTCAGCTCCCCCCCTTTCATTGTTTCCCAACTGACCAATATTGACCCAGAGGTAGGGACATCTCTATGCCCCTATTCAGCAGGAAGATGTTACAGAAGATGAGACATTCCACCTTCGAACCCTAAAGATTTAAGTGTGAAAATTGTTCAGGGGGGAATGATGAGGGAGCAGAAGGTTGGCTGAAGACAAAGCACAAGCTGACACCCTGCAATGGCCCCCCATCCCCCACTTCTGGGTGCGACATGTGTGACATTCTTCCAGGAATCTCCCAACTCAATGTTAATACCTTGCTGGAAGGGGAAAAGAACCTTAACTTGACAATGGCAAGACCTCCAGTATCTTGTAGTCATGGTCCTCTTTAGAATATGAAATTTTTTTGAAACCTCCCTTTTCCTTACTTCCCCTAACTCCCAAGTATATAATCACCACTCCTCAAGACCCCGGTGCAACTCTTTCTGCTCACAGGTCCTGAACCCATGCTTTAATAAACCACCATTTTGCACGCACACACACACACACACACACAGACACACAAATTTAATGACAATAAATAGTGATGATGCTTAGGTAGGGGTAGGAATAAAGTTGGATTCTTGTTCATTTGATTAAGAATCTAAAAGTTCTCAAAGTTAACATTATTCTTCTTTCTTTGGGGGTGTTTGGTTACACCGCCCTGATGGTATGGATGCTGTCGAAGGTTGAATGAGGACTCTGGAAAGATATGTTCACTTCCTGGTGCCCAGAACCTGTGAATGTGACATTCCCTGGCAAACGAGTTGATGAAGTCAAGAATCTTGAGAGTGGTAGTTATCCTGGATTATCTGGGGGGGCTCTAAGTGCATCACGGGTGTCCTCCTGAGAGAGGCAGAGGGAGAGTGGACCAGGGCACACGGAGGAGGAGGAGGGGTTACGAAACCAGGAGAGTGGGCAGTGGGATGACAAGTCAAGGAGTCGTCCCGAGGCATGCCGGCAGCTCCTGGAAACAAAAGGAACGAGGAACAGATCTCCTCCCTAGCCCCACCGCTTCCAGAGGGAGAGGACCTTACGGACTCCATGATCTCCAGAACTGTGAGATCATCAGTTTCTGTTATTTTAAGCAACCAAGTTCCTGATAATTTGTTATGGCCGCCCCGGAAACAAATACAGTTGACTTCTCCGCTGCATTCTTTATTAACATAGTCCACATATCACAGATGTCATCTTCAGGAAGTTATTTCTTATACCAAATCCCCCTTAGATTGCTACGGACACAGCCATAGACTTTCCGGGCTGGAAGGGATCTTACAGGCCATGCAGTCCAGCTTCCCTCCGGTACCTCCACAGAGAGGCTCACCCACTGGAGCCATCCCGTTTTTTCCTGGGGTAGCTTCTGCTCAGCCCTTTCCTGAGAAGCCACAAGAATTCACTCAATGGCTTCCATGTGACATTCACCCAAACACTGGGTTGTGTCTACAATTTTCTCTCCGTCTGCTTTTGTTCCTTTGGTCATTAACAGAAATGGTTATGAAAAATGTGATTTAACTATAAGAATTCCTAAAACGGAATTTGAAGAGGAAAGGCATTAGGTAGATTATGTAATCCAATCTCTGTTTTAGGTATGTTTCTA